CTTGTACATATCCAGAGAGCCCTGAAGCTAGTAGGGGTGGTAGGTAAGCTTGTTAAGAAGGCTTGGCTTGCCTTGATTCACTGAGGCATAGAAAACAAGAGTGTGGAGGTTATGTTAAAACTGCATAGAATGCCTTGGGCCATAACTGGAGTTTTGCATGCTGTTCTGGTTATGACATTGTAGGAAGGATGTGATTGCACTAGAGAGGGTGCAGAGATTTAGCAGAATGTTGCCTGGCTCGGAGTCTGAGCTATGTAGAAAGATCATGTTCAGCATGAACGTGGTGGGGTCGAATGGCTGCTTTTGAGTTATAAATGTCTGAATTTTATATTTTAAGAAATAAGGAATGGTACTTGTCTGGATGGAGTAAATTGTTGCAATGTGGGGAAAAGACAAGATACCTTTTTAACAACAAAAAACTACATCCCTTTTTAAAAAAAAAAACCTCTGAATGTAATTAATGTAAACTGTAACTAATTTGTACAGGTAGAAAACTAATGGCTGATCCTGTTTTATTTTAAGTGCATTACTACAGCATTTGTATGAAGTGCAACAGTTTCTTTGACTATTTTGCCAAGTAAAATGCTGTGACCTTGTAATTCTTGCAATCAAGAGTTTTGAAACGTATGGAATAACTGAACATAACATAACATAATATGAAGTTATTCTTGTTGCCCAGTCTTTTGAATCTTGACTGTGATTGAACAGGGCTCCAACTTGCTTCATGCCTTTTTAGAACAAGAACTTAATAGAAGAAATTGAGTCAGTCATATGGGGCCAAGGACTTGCTCAGCCATTCAACAAGGTCATGGCTGACTATTTACCTCACTCCTGATTTTATTCTATTCCTGTATTCTTTGATTCCTGTAAGGGCCAAAAGATTATCAATCTTGGCTTTCAGTACCCACCATTGAGCATTTGTAGCTCTGAGTAAAGAACTCTGAAGATTTGCAACCCTTTGAGTGAAGGAATAAGTCCTGAATGACCAGTTTGCATTATCGTAAGACTTTGAGCCCTAGTTCTAGCCTCTCTGTTAGGCAACTAGCTCTTCAGTATCTAGTCTGTCAATGTCTCTAAGATATCTGGTATTCATTGGAATTTGAGGGTAGATCCATTAGAGTCCTTGCACAGAAGATGATAGTTTGGTAGATTGATGAATCCCATCTGTTCCTGCTGTATCATGTAGCCTTCTAGATTTGCATAGCTCGTGCCAATCCAGTTTCCTTTTGAAATCATGCATTGTCTCTTCTTTCACCTGTTTTATGCAATGTATTTCAGGTCATTAATACTTGTAATATAAAAAAAAGTTGTTCAGCTTTTTATTCAGCTTCATATTTTATGGTCTTAGTATGCTGTCACTGTGCAGTTGCAATGTGATTGGTGTTTGTCATGTATTTGATGCAGCCATCAATCCAAAAACATTGGATATTATGAGCAAATTAATTTCAGTGCTCGTGTGATGCTAGGTGTATATGCCTCAAGTCCTAAAGACTTGCAAATCGTATCAGACAGCGAAATATCCCTTTGGCTGCTTGCATCAAACAAGTTTCTGACTAACCAAATAGCCTAGGCTTGCAGAAATGTCAATACATTTTACAACATGAGTTGTCATTGTGCAACTAGGCAATTGCTGGATTTTCCTGAATGCACATAACGTTACACTGACAATTGGTTTAGGAGTGGACGTTGCATGTGTTAATACATAGGAGCCCAGTTCCTTGTAGACAGAATGTGTATACACATGCTGCAACTGTATCAACTCAACAAAATAGATGACATCAGCATAAGCCCATAAGATATGTTTGGCCCATCGGGTCTGCTCTGCCATTCGATCATGGCTGATATGTTTCTCAACCCCATTTTCCTGTCTTCACCCCATAACCCTTGATCTCCTTACTAATCAGGAACTAGCTTTCTGTCTTTAAATATGCTCAAAGACTTCACCTCCACAGAGTCACCACCTTCTGGCTGAGGAAATTGCTTCTCATCTCGGCTTTAAAGGGTCGTCCCTTCACTCTGAGTGTGTGCCCTCTGGTCCTAGCCTCTCTCACTAGTGTAAACATCATTTCCACGTTCACTCTGTCCAGATCTCTCAGTATTCTCTAAGTTTCAAACAGATTCACCTCCCACTGCCCTGCCCCAACATCCTTCTAACTCCTTCGAGTACAGACCCAGTGTCCTCAACAACTCCTCATAGGATAAACCCTTCATTTCCAGGATCATTCTGGTGCACCTTGTCTGGAACCCCCCAACATGTCTTCCTTAAATACTGAATCCAAAATTGATCACAGTATTCCAAATGCAGTCTTAGGCAGCCCAGACAGTACACTGTTGCTCTTGTAGCCCTCATGAAATGAATGCTAACATTGCATTTACTTTCCAAACTGCCAGATGAACCTGCATGTTAACCTAAATGGAATCCAGAGCTAGATCTCCAGAGTCCCTATGTGCTTCAGATTTCTGAAGCCTTTCCCCATTTAGAAAACAGTCTACAGCTCTATTCTTACATCCAAAAATGTATAATCTTACACTTTCCCACATTGTATTCCACCTGTCACTTCTTTGCTTCCTCTCCTAGCCTGTCCACGTCCTCCTGCAGCCTCCCTACTATATGCACCTCCACTTATCTTTATGCCATCTGCAAACTTATCACCAATGCTTTAAATTCCTTTGTCCAGATTGTTAATGTATAACACGAATTGTTGTTGTCCTGTTGCTGACCCATATGGAACTTCACTAATCACCGTCTGCCATCGTGAAAAAGACCCCTTTATCCCCAGTCTGCCTTCTGCCAGTCAGCTAATCCTTGATTCATGATGGTACCTAATATCATGGCCTCTTATCTTGTCTCCTGTGTGGCAACTTGTCAAAGGTCTTCTGGAAATCCAAATAGATCGTGTACACTAGCTCACCTTTGTCTACGTAGCTCATTATCTCAAAAGAATTCTAACAGATTTGTCAGACATGACCTCTTCTTGGTAAACCTTCTGATTCAGGCCTATTTTGCCATGCACTTCCAAGTATCTTTTTGATTTTGTTTTTTTTTTTCAGAATCATAAAGCGTGGGCGCATGACCCTTCGGTTCAACATAATCCCAAACTAAGCTAGTCCCACCTGCTTGCCCCAGGCCCATGTCCCTCCAAACCTTTCCTATTCATATATCCATCCAAATGTCTTTTAAATGTTGTAATTGTACCTGCATCCACCACTTCATTAGGCAGTTCATTCCACACGTGAACCACCCTCTGTATATTAAAAAAAATTGCCTCGTGTCTTTTCTAAGTCTTTCTCCTGTCACCTTTTAAAAATGTGCCCCTAGCCTTGAAATTTCACATCTTAGGGAAACGACTACTATCATCAACTCTATCAAAACCTCTCATTATTTTATAAACATCTGTTGCATCATCTCTCCATCTCCTAGGCTTTAGTGGGGAAAAAAAATCCCAGCCTTTCTTTATAACTCAAACCTTCCATGCTCGGCAGCATCTTGGTAAATCTTTTCTGAGCCCTCTCCAGCTTGATAATATCCTTCCTGTAACTGGGTGACCAGAACTGGACAAACCTATTTTTCTAATCAATCTGTTCAGCGATGTTACTCAATGCCATTGGAGCAGATGGGACTTGTGTAGGTCTCCTGGTCTGGGTTAGGGACGTTACCACCGCAGCACAAGAAGGGGCCACCAGTCTACGGCACCTGGTGGTCTCCAATCCAACAACTAACCAGGCCTGAGTATGCTTAGCTTCTGAGATCAGACAAGATTGAACGTTTTCAGACGAGAATGGCCATAATCTGCAATCTAATCCTTCATAATGGACTCTCAAATCTTACTAACGGCTGAGGTCAGGCGAGTTGACCAGTTGTTTCCTGTCTTCTGTCTCCCTCCCTTCTTAGATTACATTAGCCCTTCTCCAGTTGCTGGGACCTTCCTGATTCAATTGATTCCTGAAAGATCATTACCAATTCCTCTATTATCTCTTTCATAAGTGTCATCCCTCTGGTCCATGATTTACCCACCATCAGACCTTTTCCGCATCCCCAGTGATAGCCACTACACTCACCTCTGCCCTTTGCCTGTCTTGAAGTTGTGGTATTCTACTGGTGTCTTCCATCATGAATTCTGATGCAAAGTACCCATTTCTTTGTTCCCCATTACTACTACTACTTCCAGCCTCACTTTCCACCAATCCAATGTCCCCTCTTTCTTCCCTCTCTTTTACCTTTCTATATATCTTTCTTAAAAGAAAACTCTGGCAATTTTCTTTTATTACTGGCAATGGCAGCCATTTACCTGAGAAATGAAAGAGTTAACCTGACTGGTTTTTAATGTTTTCTTAATCAACTTGTTCAGAGGTGTTGTTTCCCACCACTGGAGCAGGTAGGACTTGAACCCATGCTTCGTAGCTGTAAGGTAGGGGCACTACCGCTTCCCTACAAGACCGATAAGTCTGTTTTTAAATTTTAAAGCAGGCAGGTTAATGGTCAGTCACAATTATCTGGTGCATTCTCTGTAAGCACCTCTACCAATTAGAGTCCACTTGCCAACGAATCAGCACTCTTTCTCCACATAGTATGAATGTTGGTTTTTCTCCTTGAGTGATAGATGAAAAGCTTTGTCAAATAGGTTTTTCAGATTTTTTTCCAAGATTAAACCAAACTTGTAGCAGGACCACACTGTAGTTACTTGTCCATGTATCACCAAATGGGTATTTGAGGTAATGTATGCTTTATTCAGTGAACCTAAAAGGAATTTAAGTTGTATTGTTCACATTTTGAATATGGAATTTTTTTTTTGCAGTTTTTAATCTAAAGCCTTTTTTTAGCTACTCTTAAAAGCTAGTCTGAAAAAAGGCCCCTCAAACGGTACTGTGTTTCTTTAGAATTGCTTATTGGAGAGCTTGAATCGAAGATGTTCTGACTTGAACACGAATATTGTGGCAGAACCAAGGTGAGCAGGAAAATGTTGTTTGTTGTTTAAATTCATTTACTTCAATCTTTTTAGATAAGGATCAAATGCTTATAACATGGAAAGTGTCAGAAATCTGGAAGATGAAACATTTCCAAGCTTTCTGTTGCAGTCTGAGAGAGGCAATAGCAGTGAAATTCTGGGAAATGTTACTGTCTCATCAAATTTTGGACTGCCTATGGCTGCTTCAACAGTTGCTAAAAACAAATCTGACTTGGGGAACAGGTGAGCAACATAACCATGTGCATTTATTTTTCTTTGTTAAGAAAATTCTATTCAAACAGTTTACAATCTTGTGAAAATGGTCATGCCATTCAGAAGATTTGAGTATTGTCATACATAAATCTTCAGTGACTGTCATTCCAGCATGCTCACATAGTTGGACTGCAGCACCATCAAGAAGATGCTTAAAATTTGTATGAGACCCATATTTCTTGAAGTTGTCTAGGTTAAGGCTGAAAGTACCAAGTATTTTACTAATATAATGGAACCTTGGGCTTTGAGTCAATGCTGTGTGAAATAACGCACGACAACATCTTTTTTGGGAATTAATAACAAATGCTGCAAGTGTAATTCAATCTGAAAGCTTGTCGTGAGCCATTAACTTCTTTTTTGAGACAATGGAATAGCATTATTTTTAAGTAAATTAATTTTTATTTTATGTAATTTCCACAAATTTCATGCAGAGCACCAGATGTTCAATCTTCATACTTGGAAGAAGTAAGATTTTCTACAGTGGATACACATTCATCTAATGTTTTGAACTCTGAAACCTGTCAAAAGTTTGCACTTAGTTTCAAAGATGAGTTGTAAGTATCTGGTCATTCTCGGGTTTTGGGAAAGATCAACTGCAGAAATGATGTGTTGATGGCGAAAGTTACCCCCTTTGAAGATGCTCCTTAAAATCTAGAGAGGTTTAGTAATGAAATCCCAGAGCTTGGAGCATATTTTAAATGTTTACTATATTTTGGAAAGGTCCTGGTGGATTGGAAAAAAACAGAAATCTAACATTTCTAATGAAGGAAGGAGAGATGGAAAGCTGCGAAAATCAGTCATTGGAAAATTTCCAGAATAGATTATTAAGGATGTATTAGCAACCCCTTTTAGAAATTCATTTAAGCAGCTAGAGTCAGTGTTTTTTTTTTTGTTTTCCTCTTGAAAGGAAACGTCAAAATAGTATTTGACAAAATTTGTTAGTTCTTTTTGAGCAAGTAACATGAACGATGAATAAAGGGGAACTGAAGTAGATGTGGTGTATTTGAACTTTTGAAAATACATTCAGTCGATAAAGTGTGATATTAAAGATCTTATGACACAAGATGTGTTAATGGTTTTGGTAGTTATATTAACAGGAAATGAATTCAATGTGTTTGGTTTCCTTAAGGTTGGCAAATTTTAATAACTGGAGTGCCATGGACCTGTGTTGGAACCTTGGCTATTGTTTTCCCCTGTTGAAAGTTCTTTCTTTTTACAGAGAACATGTTGATGACTTTCTTGATGCTCACTGTATTCCTGATGTGATGGAAAAGCACTTGGATGAATTTGGTTCCTTGCTCTCAAAAGTAAATCCGCAACATGCATTACCAGGGCAACACAACAATGCACAAGGTACCAAATTGGGATCTTTTTCTGTTGGCAAACTGGATGGCATGTATGTGCATCCAGTCTGAATCTCAGTAAAGTTAGCCATCAGACGTTAGTTTGACAGAATAATGCTATGTGCAAACCGTTTGCTTGAAAATAAGTACTGGATTTAAATGATCAAATAATATCAGTTGAAGTTGAGCATGCCATTGTAGTAGAGTTTTTGGATCTGAATTAAAGGAGAAAAATGGATTTTGGTCAATTTCAAATGAACTTTAAGTTATTCATTTCATTGCATATTTGAAATGCACTCTTGCCGGTGGATAAAAATATAAATAACTTAAATTTGTGTAAAGATGTGGCATGAGAATCATTTTTAAAAATTGAGATAAAAAAAATCAAGAAATGGAAAGCAAAAAGTTGCTTCACCAATGTCTTCAACAAAAGAAACCAGTTGTCATTGGAACATGTGATTACCCCACCAACACAATTGCCCTATATAACTGCCATCTGAAGTGGCCTACTAAGTTACTCTTAGTAACTAAGGTATAGTTGTATAAAAGTGCTTCAACAGCTATTGGCGTTATGGAACACATCTTGCTAGACAGGCTGCATGACCTCAAGAAGCTGTTCCATTGCTTCTTTTGGAACAAGTGGAAATGGCTGCTGCAGACCGTTGTTGCCAGCTAATCCAGAATACTGGTTATTTGTTAAGAATTTTCTTTTAAATTAACTGCTTTTTTCTTTTGGCAGAGAGTTCTCCTGTGTTGGATTGTTTGACTGATAATGAGAAAGGAAATAAGGTATTTGGAACCAAAATATTGAACGTTTTATTGAGCTACAACTTAATTCAAGCCAAAGTTTATAAATTAAAATAATCTAATCATATCAAATGTTTTTGATCAGTAAACATCTATTTGCATTATTTAATGTACCAAAGATTTTACAAAATGTATTTATAGAACTAAATAAATATCTTTGAAATTGTTTTGCTTTTTAACGCATGTTTACCAATACTTGAAGTGTAAATGAATAAGCAAGCTGCTTTGCTAAACTCAAGTTCCTCTGGTGGTAGTATCCTGGATGATTCATCTATGAATTTGTCATCCACCATATTATCAGAAGTGAGGTTGTTAGTTATATTCAGAGGTTGGATAGCTAGAGATCATGTTCCATATCCACTCCACTTGACATGGATGAGGAGAGTATTGTAGTCTAGGGGGTAGAAATTGGGGAAACTGAGGTGGGGCGAAAACTAATCATGACATGAAGGTAATTTCCAAGTTTGTCCAGGGGCCACACTGTCATAGAGTCATACAACACAGAAACATGTCCTTCAGTCCAAATCGTCCATGCTGACCAGTTGCCTCAGGTCCCTTTTAAATCCCTCCCTTTTAAATCTTTCTCCTCTCACCTTTTCATTTTTTTTGAAAAAATAATGCCTCTAGTTTTGAACTCCCCTAACCTGGGTAAAAGACCTTTTGCTATTCACTTTACCTATGCCCATCATGATTTTATAAACCTCTATAAGGTCACCCTTCCATCTCTGACACTGCAATGAAATAACTCCTAAAGAAACAGGAGGATAGAGCTGATTTGGTACGTGGCTGGAATGATGCAGGGTAGCAGGCATGGATTCTTTGGGGACTGGGACTGATTCTGTTAAATAGGTCTGTCAGGACTATCAAAAAGTTGCTTCTCTTGCTTGTAACCTCTGGTAGATACAAACCTACACCGCCCAATATTTAATCATAAGAGAGCTCATTGATTCCAGGTATTAGTCTGATAAACCTTCTCTGAGCTACTACTAATGCATTTACATGCTTCCTTTGAATAGGTTGATCAATATTGTAAGAATACACCTGACTCCTGGGGGGCAGAGGAAGTTCACCAGGATGTTGCCTGGAATGGAACAATTGAGTGAAAAGGACAGACTAGATAGGCTTGGATTGTTTTCTCTAGAGCAGAAAAGGCTGAGGAGGTTGTACTTGAGGTGTATAAGATTGAGGGTATGGGTAGGGTGAATAGAGAGCAGCTGTTCCCCTTGTTTGTGGGGTCAATCATGAGAGGAGAGACAGCCGATTCTGAGGGGATTTGGGGGATAGAGAATTTTTCACTTCAGCAGGTGGTGGGAATCTGGAATGCACTGTCTGGGAAGGTAGTGGAGGCTGGAACCTTTGAAACATTTCTTTCTTTCAAAAAAAAAAAAAAAAAAATTTGGATGAGCACTTCAAATATGATATGGGAGGAGTACAGGAAACTGGGATTAGCACACTTTCAGCGGTAGTAATGTTGGTTCAGATTTGATGGGCCTTGTCTGCACTGTTTGAGTCTATGATGTGGTCTCACCAGTGTCCTTTCATAATTTTTAAAAATAACTTGAAACAAAGAGTGTGTGAAGTGGTTGATGGCTAATATAAGTAAATCTAAAAGCCTCTATTGTGATTATTTTAAAAAAAAAAGTCCAATTAGGGATCAAACCAGGGATTTATGCATCGTGACCAGAGAGATCCAACGAGCATTTCCAAGAGTAATTACCATGAAAGATACATTTTCAACAGGCTAAACAGTGATATAGGGGAATTTGTGTTTTAGTTCAGCCAGCTTTACTTAAGGTTGATGACACCGAACTGAATGAGATGGATCAAGAATACGGAGAGTAATAATTATCATGTTTAACTTTTGTTATTTATAATTTTTTTGTCATAAATTGTTTTATTTCAACTCATGAGAACCATGTATAGCTTTGATTTTGTATTTCTAAGTTCAGAGCTACGGGCAGGACATTAGTTTTAGTTTCTTTTGAGTCATACTGGGTTGTCTGGAAACTTGTTTATGTTTTACACAAGATGTTACAAAAGAAACCCTCGGTCAACAGTTCTGTGCTTTAGAAAAAAGGGGTGGAGAGAGGGGAAAGAAGTGGCCTATGGCCCATCGGTATGCCCTATGATACAGGGAGGCAAACGGAATAAAGCTACCTTTTTCAGAAAGGCAGAACTATCCATAAGATTGGTGAGCACAGGCTTCTTTCCAAGAAATTAAGGAAAAGGATTGTAAGAGCAGCAGTGCTGTTAGCATTGTCCAAAGTAATCAAAGCTAAGGAGGAAGTAAGTTGATAGAAGTTTAATTAAAGGGTCTTGAGATAAGACATTAACCAAAGATAGCATTGAGTGAGTGCAGAACCTTGTCAGAAAGGTGAAGTACAGTTGTGCTTATTAAATATAGAACTTTTGAAGTGGAAGTAGGATACCACTTCCACTAAGGTTTTTTGTAGTTATGTTATTGAGGATAACAGCTGAATGTCTGTCTATTTCTGATACTTGTAAGAAAATAGTTGTATAGTGTAAAATAGTTCTGTGCACCTTCTTTTGAGTGTAATAAACTTCATTGTTCCTTTGATAGTACAATGGCAGTCTTGTGTGGAATATGTTCAGTGACTGACCGTCATAGTAGGCAAATAGACCATTTAAGTTTTTTTTCCACAATAAAGCCAGGTTTCTTTCTGCAATCTGACTAGCTGGGTCCATAACAACAGTTTGCTTGAGATGAAATTTTAATGGCATTACGCATGTCTAATTTAACTCTGGAACATGGATTTGTATGGTTACCAGCAAAAATCCATTTTAAATGAGCAACATAGCCAGTTTGTCAGAGCAAATTGCTCAACATTTCATACCTAAGTTGTATCTTATCCTGAATTTGTAATAGTTGGCTTCTATGTCATTAGGTTGATGACCCAAAGGACCCTGGAACATCCCCTGGAACGAAACAAACGGATGAGGATTTGGACATTAGACGATACAGCGACAGTCTAGCTAGTTTGTTAGAAGATGAAAGGCTGTTGTCGCTGGCTAGTTTAGAAGACCAGTCCACAGGTACAGTGCAACATGATGGTTTCCTGTTTTTCTAGTGATTGGAAATGGTCACTTTTTACATTGTACATAAACTATGCAGTATGAATCATTTAACAGAAGAACAGATGAACCTGTAGTTTACTCCTGCCTTTTCAAAATGTTTGCAGTGTCCAAAGTAATTTTTGTTCACTGCACCAAAAATATTTTTGAATGGCATGAGCTTACTTTCATGCATTCAAATAAATTCCTATTTTTTTTTCAATCTAAAGTAAAATAGTGTAGAATCTTGCAGCAGAGAAGTTGTCCAATTGGCCCATCAGACCTCTAGCACTTGTTGAAAGCTGTTTTTGTTTAGTCCCCTTTTCCTCTGTAGCCTTGCAATGATGTTCTTTACCAAGTGAAAATATAGTGCAAGCAGGTGCAACAGCAAACGAACTGTTTTGTAAGGCATTGTATTGCACAAAGGCTCTTCTCACGACTGGCTTTTTTTTGACAATTATTGTAAATCTATGTCCCCACCCCGATACTGTCCCTTTTGCAAATGGTAACAGTTTGACTGTAACCATAACTGTTTATGATTCTAGTTCTTTGTTTTTCTTTACTCGTACAATCATTGCTCATTAAGGTCGAAGTGCATAGCCCATCTGCCTCACTTTCTTCCTATTCAGACAACTGTGTAAAACCAAGCTGTAGGCAGCATGGTGGAACAGTGGTTAGGGCTGCTGACTTACAGCACCAGGGACCCAAGTTTGATTCCATCCTCCGGTGACTGTATGGAGTTTGCACATTCTCTCTGTGTTTGTGTGGGTTTTCACTAGGTCCCTTTCACTCTTTCCACCCCCCCTGCCCCAAAACTACCACCACCACCAGTTTCCTCCCACAAGGAAGTGCAGGTTAAGTGGATTAGCCATGCTAAATCGCTTATAGTATCCAGGGATGTGTAGGCTAGGTAGTTTAGCCAAAGTAAATGGCTTACGGAGATAGGGTGGTGGGATGCTCTTTAGAGTGTTGCTGACTTGATAGGCTGAATGGCCCCGTTCTGCAATGTAGGGATTCTATGATTGTAAGCTGTTGTGCATCTGGACTAATATGTCCACATGGTTTAGTGTTGCATTTTATTTTGTAACGCTGCAGCTTTGGAATGGTTCATTACAGTAAAGATGCTGTATAAACATAATTCCAAAAATTAATAATACTTCAATTCTAACAGATGATGAGTTTGATGCTGAAGCATTTGGTGATGAGAGGCTGGACGTTTATTTCAAACAGTTGGTCCCGCCAGGAATGCAGAGGGGTCATACTGAAGGACAAGAACTCCCCGAAGTCCATGCTGCACTTCGAGTACCCAGTAATAATCCAACCAGATGGCACCAGGTAATTTCAAACCCTGCCAATGCCATTGCACCCTGTCTCTAAGTTTTGATTATTATAATACAAATAAAAGTTTAATTTTGTTCATGATGCAGTATGACAGCACCCATCTTCATTTAGGTTTGTGTGAATCAAAAGGAGCATTCTAATCTCTAAAGAACGCTACTCTGATTCTGTAAACGTTTGGGTGCACCCTATGTATTTTGTGTTGCCAATTTGCTTTTTGTGCATATAAGGATTCATAATGATCCAACGCTGCAGCATAATTACTTGCATGTTAGCCATTTTAAATAGTGAGCTAAATCTGTATGTATTTCAAAGTAACTACTTGAGCTTAGCTGTGATAAGATGTTTAGTCTGTCCTAAAATAGCTTGTGATCAATCATATTGGAAACTGGAATAACTTCTATTTCTCACAGGCTACAACATCTTGAATAGAAATCCAGTATGCAGTTTGATACTTGATACAATTAGATGCACCTAACATTTCAATTGCCAAGTTTTCTGGGCTATCCTTAATGAAATGTTTTGTTTTTAAATCCCACTAATGAAGCACAGTTAACTAGTAAAATCTTGAATTTGCTTTTCAGATTAAACATGTACGGGTTTACTATCATTGAACATCATTGCATCATGTTGGTGGACTCTACTAACGCCACAAATTGTTGTCAAACTGCATGTTCCTCTGCACTTGTTGGTATCCTGTACCAGACTTCCCATACTTGTTTCAGTCTGAATCGGGAGAATACCTCACTTTTTTTTTTGCAAGCAGACAAAGTGTGATTTTTCAGGAAATCGAAGAACAGAAAGTCCTAAGATTCCATGGTTCTGAGGAACCAAAAAAATCTTTACAAAAGAACACCAGAACAGCAATAAAATCCACGATACTTGTACAACTTGTATTTTGACAGCCAGTATTAATGGTGTCAATATGAGTAACAGATTGTGATTGTACACCTCACAGTTCAGAGCAAATGCAGTCTAGACAGATCCCATTGCTTTGTGAGCAAATCCCTGCCCCCACACAGTTGTCATCCAATCACATTAAATGTCAAGGGATCAGCTTTTTTCACTTGTGGGAACTCCCTATCAGTTGCTTTCATAAGGATCTGCCTCAATGACTGTTTCCTTTCTGCTTGATAACTTCCTTCTTTCATAGACCTGTGTTCCCTTGGACTCTGGAAACTGCACTCCATAATTTATGTGCTAGCACAATTCTAGCTTTTCACTGACCATCGGCTTCACCATCAATCTAATCTGGCTATGTAGAATGAAACTAATACTGCTTGTGGTTTTTCCTTCACCCTTTTAGGGCAGCAAGGTGGCTCAGTGGTTAGCACTGCTGCTTCACAGTGTCAGGGACTTGGGTTCAATTCTACCCTCAGTTGACTGTTTGTTTGTGTGGCGTTTGCGCATTCTGCCTGTTTCTGTTTGGGTTTCCTCTGGGTGCTCTGGTTTCATCCCACAGCTCAGAGATGTGCAGTTTAGGTGTATCGGCCATGCTAAGTTGCCCATAATGTCCAGTTAGCCATGGGAAATGCAGGATTACCGGGATATGATACGGTGGGATGGATCTGGATGAAATGCTGTTCGGAGGATTGGGGTGGACCAATGGGCCTGCTCCCACACCGTGGGGAATCTATGATTCTTTCCAAGACCTAGATTAAACTAGAGCTGCCAAAGTATCCAGAATGTTTCTTGAGCCCTGACACCAACACTTGGTTGCCTCATAATATCTGGAACTAGTTCCTGAGCACAATTAGTGTAGAGTGATTTAGAATGAGAATAGCCTTTATTGTCATGTGCACTCGAATGAGTGCAGTGAAAAGTTTTTTTTGTAATGTCACCTCATGGTGCTGTCTTAGGTACAGATACTTTGTTGTTACAGAATTGAAATAGTTTTTATTATCGTTCAGTATTTTTATATTTTTTTAAAATATATCTTTAAAGTACTCAAGTTATAGGCCCTTTTCACTGAGTATGTGTCTGATGGGCTTCAGAACATGAGGCCTTGCTTCTTCCAAGCACTGACCTCTACCATGGACTCGCCTCCAGGACTTGTCTGCCTGGCCAGCCCGCGTTTGCTCTGCTCCTGCTCCCGCTCTGGGCTCTGGCCCACGGCTTGCTTCCCAAGCTGGCCTGGTCTCCAACTCATCTCCTAAGCCTGGCTGGTCTTGCACTGTGTTCTCCATTCTCTCCAGGTGGCAAAGTTTAAGAAGTTAAAAGTTGGGTTGGTGGGTGGGAGAAAAACTGCATCGAAGAAGCGGGGGGAAAAAAAGGAAAAGGAACTGGCAACCAGAGAAGCTGTGGCAGGAGCGTCTTACTCTGTCACCATCTTGAGTTTCATTTAGTTACTAACTACTTCTGACTTCTTAAATCCCTTCCACAATTTTCTTGCCCGTAGTATTGCTAAAATTAGCACTGCCTAACATGGAGCCTACGTCTGAGTCTTAAAGAATAGAAAGGTCCTTTGGCTGATTGTATCTGTGCCAGTTGTCAAGCACCTATCTGGTCCCCTTTTTTGTTAAGTTGTATACTGTACAATTTCAAGTGATCACCTAAATACAACTTAAGTGTTTTTTAGTTACTGCCTCTGCTAGCTTTTCAGGCAATGTTGCGAACCCACTGGGGTAGCACTCAGTTAATCCAGCTGGTAATTCCAGTTTCAACTTGCTCACAGAGAGCAAATCAGTTTTCACTAAACAAGTCCTCAGCTCCTGACTGACTGCATGTTGCAGGAACCCATGGCCTCAAAAACAGAGTTCGTAATAAGTATTGACTTCCTTGCTGTGCAATTATGCATCTATCCTGGTGACTCCTGTTTTTTTTTTTTAAAAACTGCTCTTTCTCCTTAGAAGTCTACAGTTTTTTTGTTTTTGAAAGGCACAAAAATAAAAATACAACGCACTCTGCCTCTTGCTATGAAGCCAGTCTTGGAATTAATTTGCCAAATTGTCTTGGATCTTATGGGAGACTCACCAAGAAGTTAAGATCCCATGTGAGATGTTGTCAAAAGCCTTACTAAAGTCCCTGTAGCCTGTATCCAATGCACTGCAATCATCCAAACATTTAGACACCTCTTAAAACTTTAGAATCAAAACTGTCTGATATCATGATCCCCTGGTAAAGCCATGCTGACTATTCTTGATTTTAATTTGTCTTTCCTAGATACTTGATTCTGTCCCTCAAATCTTTTTCCTCAGTTATCTTTCTAAAAATAATGTTACACTCGCTGGCTTCTAGTTCCCTAGCTTATTCAAGAAAGGTAGGAGGAATAATGGTGCCACTCCCCTTTGCACTCCACTCCCCTTTGTCCAGGAGTTGAAAAATAATGTTAGAGACTCCTGCAGTCTCTAACCTTGCCTCCCACAAGAGATTGGGCCTCATATCATTTGGGCCTGGGGCCTAAACCATCTAAAGGCCTGTTTAAACTGCTGATATCTCATCCATCAATTATTATAATTTGTTCAAGTATATCATCGTCCTCTTCCCTGATTCCTATACCTAAACTGTTTTCTATTAAGAATATAGATGTGAACTACTCATTTAAAGCCTCAACTATGCCTTCATATCCCTCATGGTCCTAATGGTTTTTGCCTGGCTATTTTCGTGCCCCTAATATGCTTTTGGATTTTCTTGTATCTAACTTGGCGGTGTGTTGTTTTTTTGTGATGCACTCTCCTTTCTTTGATTCTCTTTAGTAACCACTGGACTTTGTATGTGCTTTGAGGGCTTCTGGTGTTCGGAGTCCTCTATCGACAAAAACCTTTTTTTTTTCCTCCTTCAATCCTGTATATCCCTCTATGTGGAGTTCTTTACTTTTTTTTTGTTCCATTTTTTTCATTTTTAAAAGAACACTTGCCTTACACTTGCATTATTTCCTTTTTGAAAGAATCCCAATTTCTGATGTAGTCTATGGTACAAGTAGCTGCTCCCTGTCCACTTTTGGCCACATCCTGTTTTATCAGTTTGAAATCAACCTGCTCCCAGTTCAAGACTTTTTTGTTTTCTGGTCCATCTTTGACCATTTCCCTTACTACCTTTTTTAAATCTTGCGGAGGTATGGTCACTCTCACTGAAATGCTCTGCCATAACAATTAGGTTCAGCACTACCCAACTACTTGTGGGACTTTCTGCAGGCTGGATACATTTTAAGATTTTCCACCCTGCCTCTAAACCATTCTTACTTATTAATGTTGTGAAAGTTGAAATTTCCTGCTATGATTATCCTATTACTTTTACACCTAAGAAATGTGGCTCCCAACAATTTTGACCCTTTGTTTTAAGTTTTACCTAATGGCCCAAGTTGAGGAGCCTTCAAAGATACTATACCTCCTTTATTACAGTTATTAGCGTCAGCATTTCCTCTCTTTTTTAACTCCTCGCTATACCCCAAATTATTGAGCTCTCAGTCCTGTCCCTCACTCAACAATCTATCCTTGATTAGAAGTGGTGTTGTATCTCCAAGTTAATCAACAGTCTCACCATGTTTTACCTTATGGTTCTCTGTTTCATTTCAGCTGACAAACTAGTATAAAGCCCCACTAATAGCACACACCATTTGTGGTTCAGGAACTGACCCTGTGAATTAATAATCTAAAGCCTTCTACACTAACCATACATTCATGTGCCATATCGATATTTTTCCATGCCGTGTAACATGTGGCACTGCGAATAATCCAGCGATGACAACCTTGATTTTACTTTTCAATCCAAATTCTTGTTGTCGAACCTCCTCCTTCTTACTGTCTGTTATTAGTACCATGACCTGTGAAAATTCTCCCTCCTCCCTGCTTCTGAATGCTTTGCAGCTGTCAGAAATTCTTGACCCCGGCCCCAGGGAGGCAACACACTATCATGAAGTCACCTCAGAAATCCCTGTTGGTGCACCTTGCTACTGAGTGTCCTACAAGTATACAGCTCTTTCTTTTGTTTATTCTCTGCTTGTGTTGCTGAGCTCTGACTACACTACCCAGAGGAACCTTCACATAGCATTTTCCAATGTAGAACAAAATCTGTTCTTAAGTTTTTTGTTTTTGGATTTCCTACAGTGTGGAAACAGGCCCTTCGGCCCAACAAGCCCACACCGACCCTCGGAGCGTCCCACTCAGACTCATCCCCCGATAACCCACCTAACCTACGTGTCCCTGAACACTATGGGCAGTTTAGCATGGCCAATCCACCTAACCTGCGTGTCTTTGGACTGTGGGAGGAAACTGGAGGAAACTATACTCGGGCGTGGGGAGAATGTCCACACAGACAGTCACCCAAGGGTGGAACGGAACCCCAGTTCCTGGCGCTGTGAGGCAGTAGTGCTAATTACTGAGCCATTGTGCTGCCCAAGTGTGATGCATTCTGGGGCTTTCCTGACTCCTTGCCTCCCTTAATATGACTGACGGTCACCCATTGCTTCCTGACTACACTTTCTTAAGCTGTAGGGTGACCACACCTAACCACGTGCTACCAGTATAACACAGCCTCCACTTGCACTCCCGCTCCAAAATCTGGTGCTCAAGCTGACCAAACGTGGAGATGCATAGCCTGCAGGATGTGTGAATCCTCGGACACAAGATTTCATACATACTGTGCCAGACATGTTGCTTTAACATGGGTAAAAACAACTTGCCCAGTACCTACTAATTAGCTTATTGCTTTGTGCTGATGTCATTTTAGTAAGGCTTTTCGGGTCTGGCTGGTTTCCTGCTGGGATTTAGCTGCTGTTGAGCTCTATCTGGGCCTTGGCGCTCAGGTTTTTATTGAGAATCTGTGCCAACATTTGCTCTGCTCCACTCCCTTTAGTTACTCTTGAAGTCATCAGTAGCCTGTAGACTAGAAAACATTATTCTTGTTCATCTTCTGAGCCCCACTTGCGTCTGCATTCCCTGTCTGCTTCACAGTGACACTGACTTGCTGCACCCTTCTCAGTTCACTTCACAGTTATTCTGACTGCTGCACCTTTCATTCATACTTGTTTTAAGCTCTTCTTCAGTGACACCACCACCAGAACCAGAACCCCCACTCCCCCAATTTGCTGAGTGGCCTGTTGAAATTGTACTATCCTCACCCTTGACCACATTGCTTGGTATCTTCTAATTGTCTGGTGTTGCAGTAATGTCATTTAGTTCTAAGTCTTCAAACCTTATGATGTGTGAGCTATTTTGCTGGAAATAATTATTAAACCATTTTTCTGGTTAAAATTGTGCTTTTGAAGGATTGTTTGTCATGTTGTAGGATAATTTTCAAGTGCCTCCTGTTCGACAAGCAGCTACTGGAATGGATTCTGCACCATCAAGTGGTGAATTGGAGGCCGTCCGACAGAGTACTTTGCAAGGACAGTTGTTGATCTCTAGTTCAGCAAGGCAATTGGTATGTATATTATTCTTGCTTTCTAGATTTATTACAGAGAAGTAAAACTCTTAAGTGCTTTGTGCACATGTTTTGAATGTGCAATATCTATGAAATTGCTTGAAAATTAATTACTCAATCTTTTCTTACATCTGCAAGTAATCACCACTGAATTTTGTCATTTTATACACAGGACTTGGGTATGACCCTGTCAGCCTACAGCTTTAGAAACCTTTGGGGATGGCATGATGGCTGAATGGTCAGACTGCTGCCTCACAGCACCAGGGACCTAGGTTTGATTGCACCCTTGGGTGACTGTCTGTGTGAAGTTTACATGTTCTCCCCATGTCTGCTTGGATTTCCTCCTACAATCCAAAGATGTGCACGCTAGGTGGATTAGCCATGGGAAATGCAGGGTTACAGGGATAGATTAGGGCTTGCGTCTGGACTCGAGTGGGCCAAATAGCCTTTTCCCACACTGTAGGGATTCTGAGATAACTATCCCATTTTAATAAGGTAATAATTCCATAATGTTGGGGTTAGCGTATTGAAGTGGATGGCTGAAAAAAATAAGCTAACCAGAATATAGGGTAGATAATGACTAAGGTTAACACAATCTGTGAACTCTACTCTGGTGTTTAGCTATCTTTAAATATAAAATAATGGCATAAAGACTGACTCTACCTTCAATTTACCTGTAGCCTAAAATATTAAATTCGCTGAGTGAGTTGCATGCTCTTTGGTTGTAGTGTTACTCTAAATATCCATTGAGTAAATGCCAATGGTTTCTTAACTTTACCAGTAAGTAGCAAAGCATTACAGTTCAAGAAGAAACTGGTTTTGATCTACAATCTAGGCTATTTTAGCTCAGCAAGACTAAAGTGCTACAATTAGCGTCATATTACCCTGAGTTTAAGCATGCAGTGAAATGGCTGCATTTCCCAACTGTAATTGTTCACTAGTCTTTGCTCGAAATGAGGCATATATGACACTGACTGAGAACCATCTGCGACCTGGCTCTTTGTTGCAACCTGTTGGTATTTGTACCTCACTTTCAAGAGAAAATTGTTGAGCAAAGTACACTAAATATGACGAGCATCTTTATTGTACAGGATTTGGCATGCAAGAATATGGACATCTTGTTACAGTTGTGCAGGATTTTGGTGAGACCAGGTCTCCTCACTCGGGGTCTCTTTTTTGTTTTTTTTTCTATCTTGCCCACTTTGTGTGTTTATGGGATGTGGGCTTTGCTGGCAAGGCCAGTATTGTCCATGTCTAGTCACCCAAAGGGTCTGGAATCTCTTGTCGGCCAGACCAAATAAGGATGGTGGTTTTCTTTTCCTGAACTGAACCAGATTTCTTTTTAGAACAGTAGATAGTGGTTATCTTTTGCCATTAGCATATCTTTTTTAAAATTCATGTTTATTCATCTGCCATGTTGGAATTTAAATCCACATTCCCAAAATATTAGCTTTGCGGAGGGGGGTTTCTGGATTACTAGTACAGTCACTTTACCACGACACTACTGTTTTCACCCATTGTTATATTTCTTTGAAGGCAGTGCAGTGAAAGTTTACTAGATTGATCCATGTAATGTTTTTACTGAAGGGGTTCAATTATGATAATGACATTGAATGTCAATGGGTTATAGTTAAGTTTGTTCTTTTTGGAGGTGGTCATGGCCTGGCACTTGTCTGGGAAAAACAGAATGCCAGAGTATTATTCCATGAGTTTGTATATCAACTTTTTTCAAAAAGATATGGGTGTTTTTGCACACTGATCATTTGAATGCAAGCATGCAGATGCATCAAGCAGTTAGGAAGGCAAATGACATATTGGCCCTTGCAAAATGGTTTGAGTACAGAAGTAAGGAAGTCTTAATGCAGCTGTACAGGGTCTTATTGAGACCACGGCCTTGTTGAGACCACAGCTTTGTCTAAAAAAAAAAGTATACTTGCTGTAGAGAGAATTCAGCAAATGTTCACCAGACCGATTGCTGCGATGGCAGGTTCCTCATTAAGGTGGTTGCATCAACTGGGCCTGTACTCACTTGAAGTTTAGAAGAATGATATAGGACCTCATTGAAACATAAAGTACTGTGTCTATTATGTCAAACTCTGTCAAAGATGATGATTCCCCTGACCAAAGGATCCAGAACAAGTCTCAATATGTAGTAGGCCACTTCCGACTGAGACCAGGAGAAATTTCTTCTCCAGATGACAACGCTGTGGAATTCTGTAACAAACACTATAGAAGTGTGGTCACTGTTTTAAGAAGGAAATAGATTTCTAACTAAAGGCGTTCAAGGGTATGGGCGAAGAGCAGGAACAAAATATTGAGGATCAGCATTGGTCATGTTGAATGGCGCAGTGGGCTCAAAGGCCTGTTCTTGCTCCTACTTTCAGTTGGGCTGGGAATGCTGCTGTGAAAAACTCCTACAGTGATAACCCTGAAGTAAGATGATAAACTTCCGACGGCAATGATTTTCATTCTGTGCCAGGAATGATGTCACCACCCAGTGGCAATTTTCCCCTGATTTTCATTGACTCCAGTTTTACCAGGATGACTTGACATGTTTGAAAGCTGCCTTGATAACCAGTGCAGTTATGCTCCCCTGGCTTGTGGGGTTCAGCTCGTTTGTCCTTCTCTTTTTTTTTGAATCAGAAGTGTGAGGTCAGGAGCCAAGTCCCCCTGGTGGAATCTGAAAGTGAGCAAGCTTTCCTCTGCAAGTGTCCTTCGAGAGTGCTGTTGAAAAAGTGTTTTTATCAATTTGTCAAAGAGTAGGCTGCGGCCATAATTAGCTGAGTTGTATTCATCCTGCTTTTTGTGTACAGGTCAAACCTGGGTAGTTTCTGTTGTTGGGTAGATGTTAGTGTTGTAGCTGCTCTGGAACAACTTGGCTTGGGGCTCAACTAGTTCTGGCACACAAGGCTTCAATACTAAAAGGTTATAGGCCAGGATGTTGTTGTGCTAGTAACTTTTTGGTATCCAGGACCTTCAGCCATTGCTTATTATCGTAGGAGTGAAACTAATTAGTTGAAGAGTGGAATCTGAGGAACTCTTTGAGGTCAAGGTAGATAATCCACTTTGCACTTGAGTGAATTGCTAAGGGTTGCCATCCTCAGAAGAAATTTTGAAGCATGGTGAAATACTTCACCTGAGGAAGGAATATCGTTCCGAAAGCTTGTGATTTTTAATGAACCTTTTGGACTATAACCTGGTGTCGCGTGACTTCAGACTTTTTACATTGTGTATGCCTTTCTCCCTGCTTGAGAATGGGGATAATTGTGGAGCCTCATCTCCCTGTTATTTGTTTGTCATGACCATTCACAACTGAATTCAGTTGAGTTAGCATTAAGACGCTGCAAGGATCACAGTAGATTTTCCAACAGCTTCAACCAGAGTAGCCTTTTTTTTTTCAGCTCTGATCCAAACTTAAATATAAGCCTCAGCTGTCTTTCACATTATTAATGATACACCTCATGGTTTGCTCTGCTTACAACTTGGGTCTGAAGTAACTCATTTTGATTGATGTTTCTCTGAACTGCAAACCACACTAGTTACAAATTGTCATTTATAAACTTTTGATTTTTTTTTTTTGGCAACAACCAGAGAACTTTCCTAAGTTCCACCTGCCTCCATGACAATATAGTCTGTTATGGGTTATTGTCAAACTGACAAATATTTCTTTGAACTGCTATTTCTGCAAGGAGTACAGGCATGGTCTTTTTAAGTTTTTAGCCAAGTCAGTCTGCCGACTGTTTAATAGCTCTGTCTCTATTCTGACTGTGTTCTTAAACCTGCAGTTTTTCAGTTTAGGGAATGTAACTTAAATTGTATTCTAAAATGAGTAAGCTGTAAACTAGATATTTGCAAACTTGCTGTTCTGGTTGAGGTAAGTTACTTTAACACAGCCAAGATTGAACTTGAATTTTTCAATTGCATACTACTACATTATGGCAATGAATTTGATAAGTGAACAATGTATGAATTTTCAACATGAATTATCAACTTACTATATTAATTTATAATGCAGCTTCGAGAGAGCAATCATCCCAGCTTTAGACCAGGACTGGAAGGTGGTAGTTCTGATGAGTCTATTGGACCACTTGATGAAATAAATGATGTTGGATTTGAATTTAGAAGAAGAGCAGAGGGTCAGGTCATAAACTCACCAGTTGTGGGTAAGCACAATACTACTGTGTGCAAGACTGCTATGTAATCAATTTTCATACAGATGATACCCAGCCAAAACTGCAGGAGCTTTTGTGCTGGCTGTCATTTTGTTTTTTAAAACTTGTTTCAGTCACCACTTTCTTGTGTTTAACTTTTATGGTTTTTTTTTTTGGTAGAGTTGCAGCTTGAAAAAGCTTTTTTGCACTGAACATCTTAATGATTCACTGGCTAACCAGAACTTTCTCTTAGATGAACACCTGACCTTTTTTTTTTCAAGATGCGTTTTTGAATCTTGATGCAAGGTTTGGTGAGAGTTGGCATGTTTTGTTGAGCTAAGTTTTATGTTTGAAAACCTTTGGTCTCCAGTTGATCCAAGGACTTTTTTTTAAAATTCTAGATAAATTCAGATGCATGTCTTTGTTCTTCGCATTTTCTTGTGTTCAAGAAGTTATGTGCATTGTATTATTTCAGATGAAAAGTTAGCATAAAGAGATCTTTAACAGCTTATTCCAGCTTTGGCGTTGTTCACTGATTTGTCCCATCTTTAGACTTTACGACAAGCTCTATTCCCTCGAGCTTGGGGCTTAATAGACTTGTCCTTTTTGCAACATTTGGCAATCATGGAGCAGGGTACAGCCAGCAATGACCTGCCCTTTACATGGTGAATCACAGGGTGGGGAAGGATCAGCTCCTGCAATTCTCAGACCACGTTCACATCCCAGTAGAAAATCGCTGCTTATCTTTAACGTTGCAACAATGATGTAGTTGTCTGACAAGACCCAAGTGTGGGGTTGTTGTGCAAGTGTAGGCAATTAATAAATAATTGGGCCTGGGACTTAGAATCATTTTGAATGGGATTAGAATCATTAGGGGTTAGTTTTGGACTGGTGCAGACTCAATGGGCCAAAGGGCTATCAAAGGCTAGTTTCCCCAAAATAGGAGTTTGTGTTGAGGGTTCTGAAGGAAGATTGAGGCCGGGAGTTAAATTTGCACTTGTATAGAGGCTTGGGGTGAGACAGCAGTAATGTACTGTGCCTCCTGAGCTTAGGGAAGGAGTACATTGAAGGTTCATCTGAGCACTCCCTGAGAAGTTGGGCTTGTCCAGAGATTGAGGAGACTGGGCCAGTTTTGTCTTTGGACTTCCTGGGACTGAGGTGAGAAGCATAAGAAGTTGATCCCACTCTAGCCTAGGACACTTTGATGAAGGGTTCCAAACGGATTCTCCCTCCATCCAATTCCTGGGAGCAATTTTCAGCATCGTGGCTGGTCATTCAGCCCATCAAGTCTGCACCGCCCTATCCCTGTAATTCCATATTTGCCATTGACCCATCTGGCCTGCACATTCTTTGGAAACTGCGGGGCAATTTACATGGCATATCCACCTGACCAGCTCATCTTTGGGAGGAAACTGGAGTGCCCAGCAGAAACCCATGGAGAACGTGCAAACTCCACATAGACAAACAGTTGCCTGAGGCTCGGATCAAACCTGGGCCCCTGGCGCTGTGGGACAGTAGTGCTCGCCACTGAGTCAACTTGCCTGGTTCCTGGCAGCAGTCTTCACAGGGATGGGGTGTTGCAGACTTGATGGGCCAAATGACCAGCCACAATGCTGAGAATTGCCGCAAGGAATTGAGTGGGGGGAGAATCTGTTTAGAACCCTGCGATAAATGTCCTAGGCTAGAGTGAGATCAACTTCTCATCCTTCTCACCTCAGTCCCAAGAAACATGGTGGCTCAGTGGTTAGCACGACTGCCTCAGCGGTTAGCACGACTGCCTCAGCGCCAGGGACCTGGGTTCGATTCCACGCTCAGGTGACTTTGTCTGTGTGGAGTTTGCACATTCTCCCCGTATCTGCGTGGGTTTCCTCCAGGCGCTCTGGTTTCCTCCTACAGTCCAAAGATGTGCAGATTAGGTGGATTGGCCATGGTAAATTGCCCCTAGTGTTCAGGAATGTGGAGATTAGGGGCATGGGTCTGAGTGGGATGCTCTCCGGGTCAGTGTGGACTTGTTGGGCCAAAGGGCCTGTTTCCATACTGTAGGCAAACTTCTGAGTCCAAGGAGAAAACAGGCCCAGTCTCCTCAATCTCTAGACAATCCCAACTTCTCAGGGAGCCCTCTGAACCTTCAATGCACTCCTTCCCTGAGTTTGTACTGGAACACCTCCCATACCTGAATCAATTCTACAAAGGGATTGGGATGAGGGCATTCAGCCTTATTTTTTCCCCTCTTAATTCATTCAAGGGACACGGGTGTCAATTGTTTGCATCCCTAATCGCCCTCCTGGAGCTGAGAGGCTTGCTTGGCCATTTCAGAGGGTGGTTAAGAGTCAACAGCAGTGGGTCTGCAGTCACCTGTAGGTCAAGCTGGGTGAGGACTGCCAATTTTTCTCTCCCCTGACAAGCATTAGTGAACCAGGTGGGCTTTTCAGCTAGCCTTTAATTCCAGATTTATGAATCGAATTAGCTAATTTTTGTGGTGGGCTTTGAACCTGTGTCCCCCTAAGGCATTAGCCTCCTGCATTACTTGCCCAGTGACATTGCCAGTTGGCTACTGTTTTCCTCTTGAAGGCATGCTTGCCTTCCACTTCATCAATCAGAGCATTGAGGTGGGATGTCATGTTACAGCTGTACAAGACATTGATAAGGCCACATCTGGAGTATTGCGTACAATTCTGGTCACCCTGTTAGAGGAAAGATGTTATTAACTGGAAAGGGTGCAGAAAAGAATTATAAGGATTTTACGGAGATTGGAGGGTTTGGAGTTATCAGGATAGGCTGGGACTCCTTTCTCCCCACCACCTCCCCCCCCCCCACCCCCCACACCCGTGGAGCGTAAGTTTGAGGAGTGACCTTTTATGAAATCATGAGGGGCATAGATAAGGTGAATAGCCAAGGTCTTTTCCCCAAGATGGAGGAGTCCAAAACTGGAGGGCATAGGTTGAAGGTGAGAGGAGAAAGATTTAGAAGGACCTCGGCAATTTTTTCACGCATGGGTGATTCGGCCGTGGAATGAACGATCAGGGGAAGTGGTGGATTCAAGTACAGTTACAACATTTAGAAGACTTTGGATAAATGGATAGGAAGGGTTGAGAGGGATACGGGCCAAATGCAGGCAAACTGGTCTAATTCAATTCGGGAAACCTGGTTGGCATGGATGAGTTGGGTCGAATGGCCTGTTTGCTTGCTGTATGACTGACTATAGTCAATCGGGCTCTGATTTTGTGTTTTAGCTTAGGCAGATAAAATCCCATTGATCCTGATGCTAGTCCTTCAATATTCATTCCCTATTGTTTGCCTCCACACATTGAACTGATACTTCAATGATGAAGTTTGTTGTTCTGCTGGGCATTTGCAGAAGGTTGGTTCAGGTCGTAAATTTTAAATCTCCTTTTTTTTTCAAATGCTGCCCTTCAGAGATTCACATTCCATAGTCATTGAAACCGGGCTGAGAAAATTTGGTCACACATTTTATTGGAGTCACTTTTAGTGACACTTTCTGTAGCGGTAATGTTCGAGGAAGCATTAAACAGAAAATTTGAGACAGTAGCAATAAAGGTGCAGTTGTAATTATGGACAATGTTAACCTGCAAATAAATTTGAGTAAATAAAATTGGTAACAATACCATTTGAGGAGTAATTGCTGGAGTGTGTATGGGATGCTTTTCTGGATCAATAAGTTGAGGAATCAACTGGAGAACAGGCCATCCTCGACTGGATATTGTGTATTGAGGAAGGGAATAATTGGCAATCTAGTTGTACAGGACCCTTTGGGAAAGTGTGATCATAATATGATTGAATTCTTCATTATGGAAGTGAGCCAAGTAGCTGCTGCTGAGATTAGGGTCCTGAATATTAAAAAGGAAACAGTATGATGGTAATCAAGGCGTGAGCTGGTCATGATGCATTTGGGAATACATACTTAAGTGTTTCTTGACAGTGGCTAGACAGAGTTAGATACGTTCTTCAGGCTCTAGACAGGAAAGTGTGAGGAGAAAGTGGGATGATTGGCCATGATAGTAATGAAGCAGGCTCAAAAGGCCAAACCTTCCTTTCTGCTCCACAAATGTTCTGTCCTCCCAAAGTAACTCGTTGTTGTATGTTCCAAAAGTAGATGTTTTTATGCTGTCATGATTGGGAAAGGTGAGTAGTAGGTTTAGCCTGAGACAACCACAGATGTCACCACTCTTTCATGTCCACACTTGAAGCAGGAAACCTTGCTGAAACTTGCTCCCTCTATCAGCGTTAGTCAGATGGATTTTGATTTATGTTCCTTTCAATTCCCATCGCAATTTGTACACATACAGATGAACTTGCAAATAAACTTTAATTGTTTTAAAATGTATAGAAATGTCAAGTGACAAGCAGTATCTTGGACAGTTCTGGCATAATAGTTAGATCCTTTACAGATCTTATTTGTACACATTGTTTGCATTATGAATTTTGTACGAAGTATATCTTTGTAACTCTGGTGTTACAGGTGATGGAGGTGGTGGAGGGGATGGTAGTAGTGGAAGTGAAGATGATGGAAACATTGGTGTATCAGCTCGTCTTTCTAATTCTACAATCTATGGTGATCGATGGGGATGTGAAATGGTGAACAGAAATGTAGCTGGCGAAGAAGGTGACCATGATAGTACAGTGACTGTTTCCTCTAATACTGCAACACTTGAAAATTTGCGAGGCCTCGGAATAATGGACAGAAATGTTGCTGGTCAAGATGAACCACTAAGTGTGCCTCCATCAGGAGGGAATAGGGAATTTATTGCTGCTCAAAATGAGGTAAGAAAGCAAAACAAAACAAATTTTAGAGTTTTTTTGATCTGCTTTCCAAGCTCTTGTACTCTTAGACTGCATCTGTGGATTTGAGTTGCAATAATTACGTTTGCAGAACTGGAGAATGTGTATCTTCATTTACATGCTGCTTTAAATATTGGAGTTACTTCCTCTTTTTAGGCAGCGGGTCGGTTAGATCCTCTAGGCAATGGAAAAGTCATCACTGCGGTTCCGGGAATACCTCTCAATTTATCCTCCAGAAGAAGTTCAACGCGACACCACCAGGAAGCTTCAGTAAGTGAAGTGCATTCAAAGATGATGATTGCTCTAATGTTTAAATCACTTATTGGAATTTCTACCTACCTGAAGTAACATCAATATTTGACAACAAGTGGGGTGTGTGGGGTGATAACTCATGACCACTCTTGAAGATGCACCTTGGCAGATAATTTATGCTAGAATGTGGAAATAGTTGCAGGGAGGGAGGGCTCTGGGCCACTGATGTCTCTTGCAGTGGAAAAAAAAGCTTCAACGCCTTTCCTTGTCATAGACATATTAGGTGAGGAGCTGAAATAAGAACTTGATTAGGTCAGTTCTGGATGCTGATTACTAATACAACCAGTATATCAAAAGCTGCACAGCAGAAGTCCTTCCCCTGCAGTCCCTTGTTCAGCTGATTGAGGAAATCCTTGAGCATGGAAGAACAGCTGCATAAAAGTTGTTGCTGCATGCTCAGATTTGAGATTATGCTCTCTTTTTGTGTTTTGAGGCTTTGGCTTCCTTTGTTTTCAAAATCTGAACTCAAAGCTAGGATTAGACTCTTAAAATCAGCTGCTGTCGGAGGAATAAGCACATGCTCATGAAGCTTCATACTTGCAACTGGTGAAACTACTTGGATAGTAAATGATTGTCCATGTTGTAATTAGGATGATGGTAGGTTTAGAGTTACATGCTTTACAGGAAGTTGCACTGCTTAGTGATGCTTGCAAAAACAAAAGCTACATCTTGTATCCCACATTTTTCCTGAACAATCGAAATAAATAAATACATAAATAGATGTCCAGCCTCAGTATTCCATAATTTAAGTTTTTTTTTCTAGTACACATGCTCTCAGCCTGAGCATTTATTGCTAATGCGTCTGACATTCTGAGAAAGGTACCCAGTTTTGTTCTTTTACTCATTATGTTCAGCTGTAAGTTTACAATTTTTCCTGTTTTTTTCTTTCCTAATTCTGCCAGATTACCTTCCAAGTTCTGATTTCCCACCGTTTCATTAGATCATTTCTGAATGAATGTTTTTTTTTTTTTGTCATGTATTTTGCAGTGAAAAATCTCTGCTGTTACCGTTTTTGAATAGTTTAAGAATAACTTAAAAACTGGATTTTTATTTTGACTTTGTCCTCTATCAGCAAATCTCATTAACATTAATCTTTTATGAAGTAACCAGATTTATTCTAGGAAGCAGGAACAAAATAATAAGTCAGTCATAGCCTATGATTAAATTTATTGGCTCGTTACTCAAACCAAATGTCAGAAATTGTCTTCCAAATCTAAAGTGAACTTTTATACTTAGGTTTTCTGATAATGAACTTAAAGTTGTTTGACTATACTTTGACTATATTTCTACATGTACAACCATTAGTCAGTTCCCTTTACTGTAATGTCTGATTCTTGTCTGAGACAGAGGGACAGTTTGGAGGGACTTAGTTGAAACTTTCTTTGAGCTGTGGAAAATGGACAGAAGAATGTCAGTGAAATTGCTAGAGAAACCAGCCAGGGTGTCTCTTGTATGGTGAGAGAGTAGTATGGGTGAAGGTGTTGGGTGAGGCAAGGAAGCAGTACATGTGGGAACTAGTTAGCTTTAATTGAAACATGGATTTTGTTTGTTTTACAGGATTAAAATTCTCATGAGCTACTGCTTTTTCGAATTGGTGGTATTTTCAAGATTTCACAACAGCTTGCCTGTTTTGTGTATGTTTTTTGAACATGAGCTGCTGCTGTCAATCCAAAGGTCATCTTCAGCTCAGTTCTCAGTTTACAGCTCCTAACCAAAACTGGTGAAACAATGAAATAAAAATGATGAAAAATCAGCTCGGGTTCTAACACTGTTTTACGCATCTGTGCTACGACCTGAACCTCTTAAAGCACATTGCTTTTAAGATTTTGTAATGAACTTCTGAGTAATTAACTGTGCTGCAAATTTAAGAGCCTTGGAACTGGAATAAAGACTGAAGTAATTTCACAAAGGATCATTGGAGAAGTGATACTGACCACAGTAGTCCAGATAGATTCAACTGAACTAGGAGAAGTACAAGTGCAGTGGGTTAAAATTATTGCTGCTCAATTCTGTTCAATTGCTCACAGGAAACCACCATAATTTAGTGTGATTGATTTTACTGAATGATGAAAATTGAAGTTGTAGATGTCATGGAAATGTTACTTACTTTTAGTTTTTAGAAAAATGGTTCATACATAATTAGCTTTATTTAGCTGAAAGCTAACTGGCATTATTTGATCTCCGATATGATTTCAGTGCTGTTGTCCTCTTTAAAAAGATCTGTGAGACGGAGCCATAGGTGGCCTAAATTTCTGTTTTGGATCCACAGGATGTTATAAATACCAGCGTATATGATGAACCGAAGCTGGATTCTGTATATTTTCGTCCTGTAAGTGGCAATGTTACCACAGATGACCAGTTATTTTCTACAGTCCAAGGCACACCCTTTCGTCTTTCACAGATTACCTGCACATCTTCTGGAAATGACGTCACGGATCTGAGAGATGGACCTTCTGGAGACACAGTCGGCCACATGGCAGCCAGAGGAAGAGGTGATGCTGATAAGACCTTAAGTGCTGATTCAGGTCCACCTCTTGCTGCTGCCTACTTATCACCTGTGAATCCAGATGGAAGTACAAGTGAGACGTGGACCGACTCTTCAAAAAGCTCTCCTTTTCATAAGCAGCGGAAAGCTGATTGGAATGCTGGGTGTTCCCAATGGGATAATGAGAAAGGTACCACCCTATATAGTTGCAAATTCAGATTTCCATAATCATGTAGACTGACTGAGCTAATAAGTACTACAGTCGTTCTGCAGCTGACTTCTGGCTTAACATACCTCTTGCTAAGGAAGGAAACTGAAAGCAAGAAGCTACAGGTGGCCAGTTAGTTATAATAGCACTATTAGTTAGTTTAGTTTAATGACCGTTTCGACAATCTTTCTACTATTATTGAAGCTGCTATAGAAGAGCATTGAGAAGTTCAAGGTAATTTAGCAGAGTCAATATAGTGTGTGAAATGGAATTTATGTTCAACTAATTTATTGGAAGACTTTGAGAAAATAATCGTTGTTGTGATTACAGAGAACTGGTGGGCGTGCTCTGTGCTTAGACTTCCAGATAGTATTTGATAAGGTGTGCAGCAAAGATTGTAGAGGAAAGTTTAAAGCCAGTCAATGTAGTGGGTAACATAGGCATGGATAGAAAATTATCTAGCAAACAGAAACATGGCATGAATGGGTCCTTTTCTGGCTGGTGAGAGTGATGTGCCCCAGGGATCAGTGCTGGATCTAGAACTTTTTCCCAATTTCTATAAATGCCTTGAATGAAGGGACTGAAGGCAGGGGTACTAAATTTGCTGATGACCAAAATAATTAGGAAAGTGAGTTGAGCCTATGAGGGAATACAGACAGTCAAGTGGACAAAAAATATGGCAATGGTGTGTAGAATGGGAAAATGTGAAATTGCTCATTTTTGTCAGAGAATAAAGCATATCGTCTACATAGGGAGAGATCACAGAATTCTCTCTGCAAAGAGATCTGTGTGTCCTTGTACATGAAACGCAAGTTTAGTATGCAGGTACAGCAAGTAATTAGGAAAGTTTTGTGAAGGTAATTGAGTACAAAAGTAGGAGGTTGTGTTTAGTTTTATGGGGCATTGGTAAGACCACATGTGGAGTAGCGTATGCAATATTGGGCATTTTTTGTTTTTTCCAGGAAGGATATTGCATTGAGAGCCGTTTAGAGAAGGTTAGCTGAAATAATACCTAGCATGGGTGGGTGGTCTTAAGAGGAAAGGTTGAACAGGTTAGGCTTGTTTCAGTGGAAGTTTGGAAGAGCACGAGGTGATTTGATCTAAACACATCAGATTATGTGGATAGATGTGGAAAGGATGTTTCCCCTTGTGGGGAAAATAATAAGGGGTTATCTGCTAAAAACAGATGAGAATTCTTTTCCCGCACAGGGTTGTGATTCTTTGAAATTCACTTCCTTCAAAGGCGCTGCAGCAGTTTTTGAAAATTTAAAGGCAGAGGTAGGTAGATTCTGAATAAGCAAGGGAGTGAAAGGTTATTAGGGATCAGCAGGAATGTGGTGCAATCAGAGCAGCTGTTATGTTGATGAATGGCAGAAGAGGCTTGAGGAGCCATGTGGCTTACTCCTACTTCATATGTTGGCCTTCAAATAAAAGGTACAAAGGAGTAATTATTCATAAAGTAGATTATTTTTAAAAGCTACTGAGAACACTGGATTTGTCACTTCTGCTCTTCTGAATATTATGGAATTGGCCAACTGTCACCAGTAAATAAACAAAATCTTGTTGAATTGTGATACTGTTTTGAATAGATGGCATCACTTCCAGAGAGTTGTGAATACAGCCCTAGCCCATCACGAACACCAGCCTTCCTTCCACTGACCCTGTGTCTGTCGCTCCCTCAGGAAAGAAGCCAACATAATCAAAGACCCCTTCCACCCTGGTTATACTCTCTTCCACCCTCTTTTTATCATGCAGAAGATACAAAAGTTTGAAAACCTGTACCAACATATTCAAGTACAGCTTCTCTGCTGTTATCAGACTTATGAACTGACCTCTGAGTTATCTTTCTCTGCACCTTTTCTGTAGCTGAAACACTATATTCTGATTTGTCTGGTTAGCGCACACAACAATACTTTTCTCTGTATCTGGGTACATGTGACAATAATTAAATCAAACAAGTGCACAATGTATTTGGTCTTCCTCTTCCCTGCTTTGCCTGTGGACTTGTGGACTTGTGGATTTAGTTGACAGTCCAGACTTCAGTCCATTCCTGCCATTTCTCTTTTTTCTTTGGAGCTTTTCCCAGGACTTCCCAGTTTTATATAAAAATGTGTTGGATTAGCAAGTATATATTACATTGTCCCCTTTAGTTCTGAGATTTGAGTGTCAAAAACCTGTCTCCTTTTTTCTCCTCCCCCCTTACAGATTGCACATGTGGAATGTGTGCCATAATGGAGAGTTGATGAACAAATATTTGTATGGTATCTTCAAGAAAGGAGATGGGAAGAAAACTAAGCATAAGACTCCTGCTAAGTGCATGCTCTTTTTTTTTCAGGTGAGACACAAAGTGTGGTTTACCAAAATGAAGAAGGAAACTGGGTGACAGATCTGGCTTATTATTATTCATTGGACAAAGAACAGGATCAGTTCAATCTACCAACTGATTTAGTCAATAGTATTCAAGAAGAAGCATTTATAACTGGCAGTAAGATTTCAGTTACTCTGTAATATTTTAAAGAAATAGCTTGAAGTTTACTTGGCTCAAAGGTTTCACTGTTTTTCATGTAAAATCCATTAAACTTTGCAGACAAAGCTGTTGCATTGATTGAAGAAGATCAGGAGCAGTTTGAGGAAGAAAACAAGTTCATTCAGGTCTGAGAAAATTTTGTTGTCTGTCCTTGTGTACTTTTTAATGAAGAGATCTTGACCTGAAGGTGAATGTACATTTTGAAGATCTTGGGAATTGAGACATATCTCAACAGATTTTTTTCTCAAAAGCCTAAAATTTCTCATAAGAATGTAACTTTGACAGAAGATACTATATTTATTTCTTTGTAGATAACATTTAGAATTCCTGAAGTAAAATTGAAAACTGAAGCAAAAGTAAGGTTCATAGTTAAATAAATTTTATTCAACTTGCAAAAATATTAATTGCAACAGTTTTCTCAAACTTATGAAACCCAAGACAGTTTTACACTGCAGCAGTTAGAGGATTTATGATGCTTCTGCATGCATCTGAGAATTCAAAGCTCAGAATCTCGTTGATAGTGTTCAGACTGACTTATTAAAAAACATTTTGTTAGCTCATATACATGTCGAGCAATGAAAAAGACTGCCTTATTCTCCTAGACAACAAGGTGCAGGGCTGGATGAACACAGCAGGCCAAGCAGCATCATAGGAGCAGAGAGGCTGACGTTTCGGGCCTAGACCCTTCTTCCCCTCCCCCTTTTCTGATGGGGGTTTTGAAATAAATAGGGAGAGAGTGGGAGGCGGATAGAAGATGGATAGAGGAGAGGAAACAGACAGGTCGAAGAGGCGGGGATGGAGCCAGGAAAGGTGAGTGTAGGTAGGGAGTTAGGAAGGGGATAGGTCAGTCCAGGGAGGATGGACAGGTCAAGGGGGCGGGATGAGGTTGGTCGGTAGATGGAGGTGCGGCTTGAGGTGGGAGGAGGGGATAGGTGGGAGGAAGAACAGGTTAGGGAGGCAGGGACGAGCTGGACTGGTTTTGGGATGCGGTGGGGGGAGGGGAGATTTTGAAACTTGTGAAATCCACATTGATACCATTGGGCTGCAATATCTCTGCTTTATTCTCCTGGCCATTTGGCATGATAATCAACTTTAGTAATTCACTCACTACTACCGTTACTGTTTATTAACCATACCCATTATATGTCTGCACTACTCAATGCAATTTTAAGCAAGTCCATACAGCAGTAGTTCTCATTTAATGAAATTATGTATCATGCTATGACACCGCCAGTCTTGTTGGCACTAAATTGTACTTTTCCCTCTTAAATTTCAAGAATGCCTGCTGGAGCAGGAGTTCAGTAATCTCACTTTTTTTTTTTGAAACAGTAAACTGAATTGATTTTTCTTTAGTGCACATAGGGAATTCCAAGTATCTGGCTGTCTTGTCACCTCAACATCATTCCAAAAATTGCCAGATGTTGTAGGTTGGACGAAAAATAATGCTTGTGCCTCCAAAATTAGTAGGCTTAATAGAGGTGGGTGAAGGATAATATTAAAGTTTGGAAATTCACCAGCTTTGGAGGTGTCTGGTGAAGTTAGGATTTTGTAGGAAACTCATTGAAAATGTGATTTAGAATATGAATGATCACTTCCTGGGGAAAAAAAAGGCAGTCAAGCAGAGAATCTAAGTCACTGTTAAATTCACAAAATGGGATATAAATAGTGCATATTCATGTGATGGAGGCTGGGTTGTTGCCTAATTGAGTTCTAAAAACATGCGGAGTTCAAGGTTAAAAGGATAGATGGCAAAGTCGATGGTACAGTCCACTTAGCCATTTTCTTACTAAACAGCACAGTGTTTGAGGAGCTGAATGCCTAGTCCTCCTTACTTGTATAATTCATCTGTCTGAATGACCTTTTTTGTTTTTGACCTAAATGACTTTTATCTCTTGAATAAATGCAACAATGTTCTGGATCAAGTTGAGGCAGTGTTTTTTTTAAGACTACTTTTTAAAGCGCCTTTATGTACCATAGTGGAATTGAAATCACCGACAACCTAAATCTTAAACAGAAGTGTCACATTATTATCATCCATTAACCTGCCCTCTCATCTGTAACTCTTAATTGGTGAATCAGTTAAAATGAATTTTGAAGCCTCTTCTACTGTTGCAGTAACTTCTCAGCAATGAAAATAAGATGGTTATTGTCTTTTGCCTACCTTGATTTTGTTAACACTTGGAGCCATACGAATTCTGGCCTCAGGAGTGACTATGCTGACTAGTAAATAACAACAGCCAAGCTGTGACATTTTTTTGTCAACGATTGTCATACACAAGTAATAAAGCCTTTTTGATTTCTAGTGCAGTGGAAGTCATTATCGTCCCACAGGACCATGGGCTGCTCTCAGACCGATGATTCACTGGTGTATTTAACCTGAGGGGTGAAGGGGTGAATTTGAGCCACCTTCATCACCAATTTGTTTGTATTGTTAATCCTGGAGATAAATCAGTTAGTTAAGCAAAGTTAGCCTTCTGACCATCACAAATGCCTGAAGTATCTTTCATCTAAGTTCCTGAAAACTGTAATTTGGGAATAACTTGGGGTAGCCAAGTGTGTTCCATGCTGGTAAGTAAATTAATTTTATTAAAATCAAAGTGAAAAATTATGTTGTTCAGATGATAACATGGAGTACTTTTGCCAGCTATGTTGAATGTGGAGCTATAAATATCTTTGCAAGTTTTAGTTGTTTAGGGTGTATTATAAGTCTATCTATTCAGCACCATCTCCTCAAATCCTGGACGCTAACTTCAACTACAGTGACAAGTGGTCCACCAGCAAATAGAAATGTCAGTGCAACAGGATTCAGTTTAAAAATTGCTTTGTGAAATGAGTGACTTGAAACTTTTTGCTGTTTTTAATTAATAGTTATCTTCAGGTGCTGCCTAAATTTATTTTACATTTACATTTGACATTTTACTCATCGCTCAAAGTTCCTAATTAGAAGTGCCTGCTCATCTTTTGTATAGGATGACAAAATGGATGCCACCTTTACTGAAGGATTGCTTGGAAATGATTCCTGGCAGCTTCCAGCTAATAGCTACTTGATGTTGAGAGCATCACGGGCAGGGTCTGACTTTATGCAAGGCAGTCAGAGTTATCTCCGTCTCACTCTGGGCGAATTCTTTGGTGAGAGATCAGAGGCTCTTGGATGTCTTGGAGAACAAAACAGTGGCATAAAACGGGTTAGTTCAAGGTTGAAATAGATGCGTTTAATTTCTTAACCATTTAAAAACTAGTGCATCAGTTAAAAGTCTGAATCTTTGAGTAACTAAGAGATGCTCCAAAGTGAGGATTTAAAAATTAGAAATATACAATAAGTTTTATTTTCTGTAAAATTTTACGTTGGTATTAATGCAGACTTTCCTAAATCTGTTAGCCTTCATTTGGATATTCCATAACATCACCAGAGCGGAGAGCACCTGTTGCTTTATTTGAACCTGATTTGTCAAAAGACCACAGTGAAACTCCTGAGCTTGGCAATGACAATGCACTTCATTCAGGTAAACTACAACCTAAACTTTTTTGTTTGCAACAAAGTTAACTATTCCTTAATAAGTGTGAATGTGGTCAAAATAATTTTAAGTTAATGAAAGAAACTGGTTTGTTTCACAATCCATATTAAATTGTGTCCTTCAGTTAGCAACCCCCTCCAACCAGGAAGAGGGAGGAGGTAGATCAGGATGTTTTTGCTTTATAATCTGGAATCCACTGCTTGAGATGTTAAACAAGATTGAAAACTAACTTCAAAAAGGAATTGGAAGCATTTTTCAAACCTAAAACTTGATAGGATTATGGGCAAAGAGCAGTAGAGTGAGAGTAGATTGGTATGGTTTCTTTTTACAGTGGGAATGGAAACAGTGGAGTAATTTGGCCACCATCTTAATCTTTCACTCCCCCCTCCCTGGATCCAGGGGAGGTGACAAAAGACTGGAGAATTGCAAACATGATTTATTCCAACAATTACAGATCAGTCAGTTTAACTTTAGTGGTTTGGAAGCTTCTAGAGATAACTACTTGGGAAAGAATAAGTCACATGGAAAAAGGATCTTTATCAATAGGGGCATAGTATACAGGAGCAAGGAGGTTATATTGAACTGTGGAAGGCACTTAGCTGGGAGTATTGTGTATAGTTGTAGATGCCACATCTTTAGGAAATGTGTGTGTTGGAGAGCAGAATTTACTTCCCCTCTGGGAGAGAAGGCTGCGAGAAGATTTGCAAAATCACAAGTGGGCTGGATGGAATAGATAGGGAGTTGCCTTTCCCAGTTGTAAAAGGAACAAGAATGAGAGGGCATAGATTTAAAGTGATATGCTAAAGTAGTAACAGTGATGCAACAAAAACGTTTTAATATAGCCAGTAGTTAAAGTATGGAATACTCTGCCTGGAAATGTGGTGAGGATAGGTTCAATTGGGCATTCGAGGGAATTGGATGATTATTTGGACAGAAGTAGTATGCATGGGTATGGGAGAGAAAGCAGTAGATAATGATACTCACTCATTTTAGAGTCTGTGCAGGCAGGATGGGCTGAAATAGTGGTATCCTGTGCCATATCAGTTCTGTGATTGTGATATCTGCAATATACATTGATATTCAGTTGCTAATGTACAGTTTTTAGTGTTGGAGGAAGACTGTAATGTAGGAGCAGAAGTGGGCCATTCAGCCCATTGTCTGCTCCACCATTCAATGAGATCATTGTTGATCTAATGATCTTTTACTCCGTTCTCCTGCCTCCCCACCCCCCATAAAGTCTTGATTCCCTTTACTGATTTGAAAATTTGTATCTGTCTTAGCCTTGAATATACTTCATGTTCCAACGTCAAAGACCTGTGTGGTAAAGAATTTCAGATTCCATGGGGAAATTTTTCTTATCGGTCTTTAAATGTGTGACTTTTTTTTATTCTGACATCTGGCATCTGACATTCTGACTCTTTCCAGAGGGAAAATAAACTTTCTGCATCTACCCTGTCAAGTCCCCCAGGAATCTTGTGTTTCAAATAAGCTCACGTCTCTTTCTGTTCAAGCCCCAACTTAATTTCTTCTCACAAGACAGTCCCACCATAGCTGGTTTCAGCCTAGTGAGCCTTCTCTGGACTGCCACCAATGCTAGTTTATCTTCTGTTAGATAAGGGGCCCAATCATGAATTCACAGTATTCCAGCTGTGATCTGCCTAGTGCGTTTGAATAGTTTCAGCAAAACTTCCTACTTTTATGTCCTACATGACATTGGTTGCCTTAATTTCTCGTCCTAACCACCAATGCCCCGTTCCACCCTATCTCCCTCTGAACTGACTGCACTCAGCTCAGACCGCATCCTGACTTTGCAGTTGAGCCTGCCAGCAAGGGTGGTGTCATTTGGCATGCTGACCTCTACGTTGCACAGGCAAAACTTCAGTTGTCAGGCAATACCTCCTATCTCCCCTGGGCCATGACACCACCTTTGAACACCAGGCTATTGTATCCACAACTGTCACTAATCTCCTTTTCACCTGGTGATTTCTGTCTCCAAGGTCGTGGTCCCCAAACCCTGCAGAGCCCGCTTCTACCTCCTTCCCTAAAATCCACAAACAAGACTTTGTTTGTTTGTTTCTGCCTACTCCTGTCCCACAGAACTCATCTCTTCCTTCCTCAACTCGACTTTTTTGTTTCTCCCCTCCCCTTGTCCAGTCCCTTCCCACTTGCA